AAGCGGACGGCGGAGCCACGCAATGGTTTTACCGTCATTGTTGGTAACGAAAGTACACGTAAAAACAGTCACTTGCCCGTCCATAGTGTGGTTATTTTAAGTATAAGAGAAAGAGAGAACTTTAAGAAATTAATATAGCCACTACAGTGACCATCAAAATCATGAAAAATATATTGCCATAAACAGTTTATTTTGCAACACCACATAACAAACAATAGTGTATAATATGAAACATACACATTTTTATATTGTCATCTGATATAAATCGTCATATCGCACAGCCCTAATCCTTTTTTGTTTATGTTGTTTATGTTCTAGGTAAAAAATAAAATAAAAATACAAACTTTTTAAAAATGACTTGTTGTTTCTCTTTTTTTTTCTCAGAATAAATTGCGACTAGTCTCAATGGCTGACACGGAGGAGCAACACAGCGACACGTTAATCCCGACTGCTGCAGTTCCTGTATGAACTGAGCAACTCTGAAAATCCAAGGAAAAGCTGAGTGTATTTTACTTAAAGCTCAGATGGACCTTGATGGACTAACATGCAGGCTGGATTCAGGACTTTGTCACACTGGTATATGAAGAGTGGTAACAAGACTTTGTAGTAATTTGCCTTACTATTGTCTTATTTGTTGTGATTTAGGGTCTGTGCGCACAAGCAGAGGTTTTTGTTTGTAACCGTAACCTTGTTTTCAGAGCCTTGTCTAACATTTAATGGTCATGAAATATGTCAGACTTTTTCCTCTACTTAAACAGCTAAGAGCATTTGAACACCATGGAGAAAAAGGTGTGCATTAAGGATTTTGAACTATGATGTTTAAGTGTTGTCACTGCTGAGGATGACACAGATCCTTATTCACTACGCTGCTGTTTACAGTTTAACTTTTCATCAGAACAAGCACTTCTAATTGTACTTTGCTCCTCACTGACAAAACAAGTCCAGTAAATACACTTTTATCTTTAAGTTTGGGACAGTGATCTGTCTTAATTTATTTTGTGTTTTAGTTATCATATGGTGAAAAGTCCTGTGGTTATCCATCCGTCCTGTTCGAATAAACCCAAAGTTCAGGAACATCTTCTTTAGATCTGTTCAGTTTTATTCATGTGGCACCACTTAAACAGTCAACAAATTTTGACTCAAGTATGTTATATTTTAAGGTAAAGAGTTGTTCTCAGACAAATGTTCACACAAATGTGAATGACATTCACTTCATTAATGAAGTGAATGTAATTCAGTAATCAAAGGTGTTTGGCTATAACTGACTACATGTGTATACTGTATCATAAGTGGACAGACATGGATGTAAGCCACACCTTAACCATTTGGCTGAGGCAAAACTACCACAAGGCAGTGATTCTAACTAAAAGGTACTATGGATATTATTAAATGTGAACATATAGTTAAATATGACATTTTTTGTTTGTCAGGTGTCCTGTTTGAAGAAAACACTTGGTAGCCACTTGAATGAATGTAAATAAACACATTTACATGAGGGCAACCTGATTTTAAGGAAATAAAAATGCTCAAATTTGAAAGCTTGTGAGTTATTTTGTTCATGTATCAGCTGTTTAGTAGTTTTATGACAAGATGGATGCTGTCATTATATTTTAGTATAGTTTTAGAGTTGAGGAGAATAAAAGAATATTTAACATTAATTGTACCAATGTTGTTGTGTACGAAGCACAAATTAATTTAAGTTTTAATTTATGAATTTTTGAGTACATGGTGTACTAGGTTGTAATTGCATAGAAATGTACGTTTAAGGATATAAAGAACTATATTTAATGAGTTACAGTGAAAAGAAGTGCTTGGAAATAGTAATATAAACAGAAATTTCAAATTTTCTATTTACGGAAAATATCAGTTAATGATACAGAAAATATACTGTGAATAAACGGAATCTTCCGTTTTATAGCTGAAGGAAATGTCCGTAAATAGTACAGAGAGTATACTGTAAATCTACAGAATTTTCCGTTTTATCGTTTACAGAAAAGTCCGTCAAACTTCCGTAAAAAAACAGAAAATGTACTGGCAGAAAATTACCAGGACATTTTCCGTTTTTCTACGGAATATTTTTTTACAGTGTAGTAAAGTGTTTTAAATAACCAATTACTGATGAAAGACTCACCCTAGTTTCCTTAAGTTAATTTATTTTATTTAGCCAGAAAGGAAAAATAAATCATGAGGAATACTTTAAACTTTATATAAAACACTCATGGAGAGGTGTGAACATAAACCAAACAGCCAACAGGTGGTATCTACTAAGTGACAAATGGCGCCATCTTGTGGCCTCTTTCTGTCACTATAATTCATTCAAAGCTTGAATTATGGAATTTGTGGAAAATGCTTCACCTGTAAAAGTTTAAAAGTCACCAGTGACATTTTTCCCCAGCAGAATGTTCAACAGCTTCATCAGAATGAACCAAAGTCGATGACGTCACAAGAGTCAGAACACAGAGCTACCAAGAAAATCCATGACGTTCATCTCTGCATCGTTTAGTTTGGATGTAGTTGGTGGAGAATTATCATTAAACAGTTCGCAGCGTTCCTCACAGCACTCAGTGGACACTGGGCTTGGACACAGTCAAATCAGTATGTGGGATAGCTGGCTGCTCAAATAAGTGTTCTCCTTTTTCATACCAGGCTCATCCTCCAGCTGTGATTCCTCCCCTGTTCCCTTTTTTTTCTTTGTCTACTGTAGTTATTTTATAAACACAAAATTAGCTCAGGTTCAGAGAACAATTCCAAAATCTTGATGGTAACAAAAATACCAAAAAATTGTTCTTTTAAGCTGTATAGCCAAGATCTTTTGCTGTAAATGACCACATCCGTTGATAGAAGTCATTTGTAATGACAGGTAAGAACATTTAAGAAAGATGAGGTGGAAGAGGAAGGGTTAGATCCTTCACCTTTTATCTTTGCATTTTTATTTTCATTTTATTGTAATTCTGAGCATTTTGTTGTTCCTTTTGGTGTTTTGGGAAACTGTAAATATTGACCAAGAGACAATAATAATAATAACATAATAATCATAATTATAATAATTAATAGTATTAGAACATTTTCCTGTTTCTCTGTTTCATGTGGGCTTTCGTCCTGGGTTTCTCTTGTGTGTCCAGTAACCTGATGTACTGAGTGCGTGCAGCTCTGTTTTAAATCACACTAAAAGTTAGGATCTGTACGAAACACCGGAGATGTTTGACTAAATATCACCCCGATATTTAAAGCCAGCATCTTTAAATGCATTTGCAAGATAAGGATTTTTTTGTGGAACATTACTTCCAAAAGGGAGATGGAGAAAAGACAGAGATTAGTAGATAAATAGAAATAGAAAGTATCTGTACTTACTCCCCCGGCTACAATCAGTCATGCTTGCCATGAGGGTGCAGGGTCTGGATGTGCATGCACACTTTTGATTAGCAGCTGACTCTTCTCTGGCTAGGAGTCAAACTGCCTGTAACAAAGTTAGAAAATGCTCTGGTAATGTGCTGTCTGGGGCAATTTGTCCGTGACAGGGTCGCTGAAGGTACACTGGTCCAGACTGAGTGTTATTCAGAGAACTCCAAAGAAAAAAAAAAGCAAATTGAAGGATGCTGATGCCTGTCTTGTGAGACAGGTACGGGGTTTCAGTGATCCAAACATGACCCTGTGTGCCCATTAAGCCTAATAACTGGTTTTGCCACCCTTGGAATAAAAGAACTGCAGTTAAGTGTTTGTAATAACTGGCAATCAGTCTTTCACATTGCTGTGGATGAATTTTGTCCGGTTCTTCTTTGCAGAATCGTTGTATTGCAGCCACATTGGAGGATTTTTGAGCATGAACGGCCTGTTTAATGATACGACAAAGTGTTTCAGTCTGATTTAAGTCCGGACATTCAATAAAAGCGCTCAAAAACCTTCCTTTTTAAATTTTATTTAATTGTATTTTTTTTCTAGCCATTCAGAGGTGGACTTGCTCGTGTTTTGCATATTTGTCCTGCTGCATAACTGAAGTGTGCTCTTGCATTTTGTATTCACTCGGGTTATTTTTGACCAGCAAAGAAAATTTGTTTAATGATTTGGAAAATAGCAAAAAACTAACAAAACATTAATTAATGAGGAATGGGCCGAATCCTTTTTTTCACACGACTTTATGCTTTGTAAAAATGTTTCTCTTAAAATGCTTAAACCAGAATTAACTGAAGATCACTAAAGACATTACAGTTACAATACAGAGCATGAAACTGATATGGATTTGTTGGACTATTTAGTACTATACCTTACATTACACAAGGACCACCACGGTAAAATCTGCTGCCTGGTAGAAAATAAATTGCATAAATTAGCCTCATTGTAGAATTGGAGGACAACTTAGGCCTAATCTTTGCTCAAATACACCATACATACATACACCATTCAAACTATTGCAAAGGACAATAGATTGCGAGTTGTGAGTTTAAAAAAGCATTCATGATTATTTTGCATGTTAGCACACATATAAGAAACAAATATCGACAAAATTAAAAAAAAACAAAAAAACAAACAACAATGTAAAAATGAATAACTTATATAAAAATGATATATTTGGCCTACAACTTTTGGGAGTCCTCAAGAACTTTTTTGTATTTTAAATCATATTTTGGACCAACTTAAAAAAATAGGTTTACATTTTGTCTCTGGACGAGTATAATTTTTTTTTAAATGTATGTTTTTATTTTTCTGTGCATGGACTGCTTTCAAATTCAGGGGTGGGATACAAATGTTCTGCAACTGTAGAATTAACCATTAATAATCTGATGTACACCTTTAAATACGTGATTCTGTTGCATAAATGACATGTGTTAAATAGCCAATGCAATTCAAGCAACTTTTTTCTGATTTGACACAGAGGAAGTGCAACTGTAAATAAATAAATATTAATGCAGACGGAAAAAGCTGTCTTTTCAGGACAGGTTACAAGCCCAGTGTCTTATTTTGGTAACACTCGGAACTCATGCATTTAATTCCGGCTGGCTTGCACTGGTGTGGAAAAGATGGCTGCTTCGGCGGCAACGGCGAGTTCTTCCCCCGGTTTGTGTCCAAATTACGCTGTGATTTGCTCTTTTCTTGAGCGCTACGGAGCGTTGTTGGACTTGCCGGAGCTCACCTTTCCTCAGCTGGAGAGGTATCTGCAGGACACATCCTCAGGTAGGGTAGTAAAAGGTCCCGCTGCTCACGGGGAGGAGGAGGAGGAGAGACTTCACCGCTGCATTAATGATAATGGTAGCGAGCTAGCACGTAGCAGCTAATGTTAGCTGGCTGTGTGTTATTGTGTTGGTTTTTTAACATTCTCCTTCACTTAAATATAACTTAACTCCGCCCTGAAGCTGCCATTCGAGGTAGAAAACACGTCTGTGCTCATTCTGATCGTTATTCAGCTGCAAACGGGCCGAATTATTCGAGGTTTTCTGTCACTTTTTTAGCTTTTGAATTGGGCTTAATTTTTTTCCAAGCAGCCTTTATCTGCCGTTGTAACGTAAAACAACACAACACGCACACAAACATGCGGCCGTGACAGTGCTCGCGAGGCGGTGAACGTGGAGATAGCTCACGCAGCGCGGCGTGGATTCAATTAAGTGGTCTCCGAAGGTGTCAGTGTGTGAAACGAGCACGGATTTGTGCACTTTATTTACACTTAAAATATTTTGCCTTGTGGTGCTTCGCGCAGCTACCGTCAAGCCACACAAAAACAGAGGACAAATGCGTAGGCGCTTTCAAAATAAAATAACTTAAAGCCTTAGAAACGCAATAGTTTTGCTGGTTACTGCGGAACTATATGCGCGATTTTGATGTGAAATTAAATTAACTGTGACTTTTATTGTTTCCAAACTCTTAGCGATAACCACATCTTAGAAAACGGTGTTTAAGAATTTCACGGTAATTAAGAAATTGTTCTCTTCTTCCGCTCTCGCTGCTAATTGTGGTCGACTTGACTGTTTTTCTTATCCCGTTGCGTCGATTAGCGCATGCGCGTCCTCATCTGAAAGTGTTCCTGATTGAGTGTGTATTAATTAGCATGTGCCATCACCTCGTGTGTTTTAAAAGGACACCACGGACACATTTTTTCTACGTTCGATATTCCCATTAATTATTGACAGTTTCAAGCTCAATGCTTTTATTTGATTAAAATTAGACTTTTTAAAAATATATATACTTAAAAAGTATATACTTTTTCAAATCGAGGGAACAATATATGTTGTTATAAGGATACAGTGTGTTGTATTTCTCCTAGAGGCCTTCCAGTGCATGTTGGTAAACAGAAAAAGGCGGGCATGTGTAAAGAATAAACTTGTTTTATGGGAAAAACAAAGATAAATAAGGCTCTGTAATGTGTTGACACTGACTCCCGCACAGCGAAGGATAGCAGCAAGAGTGAAAGAGAATGTTTACAAGGCGGTAGTGAGACGTGCTATGATCTATGCACTAACAGAAAGACAGGAAGCAAAGCTGAAGGTGCGAAAAGTGAGCAGGATGGGCAGGATTAGGAATGAGTACATCAGAGGAGAGGCACACCTGAGATGGTTTGGATATGTGCACAGAAGGGATAGTGGATATACTTGACGAAGGATGTGGAAGAGGGAGTTTCCAGGCAGTAATTAAACAGGAAGACCACAGAGAAGGTTCGCTGATGCAGTGAAGGAGGATGTGCAGATGTTCAGTGTGGTTAGTGAGGATGCTAAGGATTAGGTGAGATGGAGGCAGTTGGGCTCCTGTGGTGACCATTTTTGACTTCGTCCTACATTTTATGTTAAGTCAAAGGCTTTTTGCTTTGTTTTTGGTTTAGATGGTTTGCTGCAGATGCTCTGATAAATGATTCTTTTGTTGTCAATTAAAACTCTTCATGAGCATCAATCAGAGCGAGCATCTCTCAGACTTGGTTTGATGTAAATATTACAGAGGGGAAACACTTTCATTGCAAAATAATGTTATAAAATAAAAAATGTATTTAATTAATTAAATGTGAGCTTTTAAAAAATGTAAACGAAGATGAAAAGATGAAGTTAATATCAATAAAATGGGCAGAAGTTCAGTAAGAAAAACATACAAGAATCAGGGTTTTTTCCTCTGCATTCACATGTTAGAAATTGTCAAAAGGGCCATATTTAGCATGAAAAGCCCAATAGCGTTACATAGACATTGCATACATTGTTGCCTGGCTGTTTTTGTCTGCACTCTGGTTTTTTTTTGATCAGCTTTTCCCACGATGCAATAAATTTCATCTCCAGTCACAGCAGCTGATGCTGTTACCTGACAGTGTTACTTGCTTTACGGCTGTTTTACACTCTCCTCAACAGTTGTAGTATCACACCTAAAATGCCTTTCGGACGCTAACGGGTTTCTCTGTTTTATTGTTTCCGCAGTTCCAAAGCTGCTGGTTGATCTTCACGTTAAGTTGCTGAGGAAGATCGGCAAATCGGTGTCTGCAGACAGATGGGAGAAGTATCTCGTCAAGGTAAGCGGTTGACACGCAGCACAAAAGAAAAAGAAGTACCGCCACAGTGTTTTGGCACAGGACAATCTAGAATATTTATTTAACATTTAAAATAAATAGCGCCATATTCAGACAGCTCCTACTCCATCCAGAGTACCTAAAAGGGCTTCTTTCAGGAAGCTGAAATGTTCTTTCAGACCATTTTCTTTCTGTACTTTCACGGCCATTAAGATTAGCCAGACATCCAACCCCCCGCCTTTTTTAAAAAATTTTTTTACATTTATTTATTTATTTATTTTGTAAACAAACAGCTTTCCAAAAACGTGCTTTTTAATAGAAAATACTTCCCACATGGTTAAGCAGATGTCTGGTTTTATAGAGATCATCTGGTTATTTAAAAACAAAAACAAAACTTTAACGTTGCAGCATATCAACTTTGGGATCTACTAAACTGGGACTAGGTTGACAAATTTGGAAAATAAAACCCAGTTTAATAATCTGATGGACAGGTCTGTTTTATCAGAGAGACCCATCCTGCAGTAACCACTCTAGGAGCCGAAGCTGTTTGCATGAATAAACGGCAGTAATCCCTGCGCTCAGAGTAGAAAAAGGTACTCAGGGGGTGATGTCAGCAGGTAGCATCAGGGTAGCAGGGTGGGCTCGTAATTTTTGCAAGGGGCCGCAGGAGAAACTGTGGCTATTGTGGAGCCCACACCAATAAGGTGCTCAATGTTAGTGAGATGTAGATGTCACTGTTAGACAATGAAAATGTGAAGCAGGCATAGTAAAGTCATAATTTAATCAACAATTGAGAACAAAATGTGCATGTTTTTGCAAATTATAAATATGTTATATTATAAATTATGCAAAGTGCTGTTGCTATTTTTGCTCCAATTACATCTTCTGCAGGTATTCAGTTTTTTTGTTTTGTTTTCTTCTTGTTAATTGAGAGAAAATTGAGTTGTTGGTTTTTGTTGATTTTTTTTTTTTTTTTTTTTTTTTTTTTTTTTTTTTTTTTTTTGGCTTTAACAAGTGCTTTAAAGTCAGGTGCAGTGTCTGAGGTGTAAATGTGGGCAGGTGACTGTGACTGAGAGACCATCTGTGTCTGGATTAAACTTCATTACTGAGAACGATTGTTCACATATGAAGGCAAATTCAAAGAGAACCAACATCTTTTGAGAAGGTCTCCTTATGTGTAGAAAGTTTTCGGCACCTGCTGTCTACCAGTTACAAAGATACCAGTTTCATTTATGGTTTCATTTATTTCTCGTTATATTACATCCACTTCAGAAGGCCAAACATTTTCCTGTCAGATTTGAGCAGCCATTGGCTGGAACACCTGCCAGTTTGTCCCATTTCAGCCATAGCCCTTCCAAGCAACCGTTTACCTCTGTGAAGAAGTCACAGTCCCTTTCACTGAGTGCACTGCTGCCAGTTCCTCTGTGATCTTAAGTCTGTTGCTTACCACATATAGAAAGATCCTGTGTAGACAGACAGCACAACTCTCATCCACAGTCAAGGAGAAAAAAGTCACAATAGTCTGTTTTGTTTTTAAACTGGAGTTCCAGATTTCCTGCAGTGTCCTCACCTCAAGCAGTCTTGTTATGGTTCAGCTGGATTGGACACATTCTCAAATGCTTCTTCTGAAAACTTCTTGTATTTCTGGGTGTTTAGTCTCATAATGGTGATTGAAACTGCAGTCCTTAAACCCACCAGTCTGCTGTCCACAGACTAAACTCACAGCTTGACCTCTGACTTCAAAAGTCAGTGTTGTTGATTAAAAAAATCTTTTATTAGAGTGTATTTACAGTGATGCTGCATTTGCTTACTCACACATGAGAATGTAAAAATAAATGATCAGTCACCTTCAAAATCAAAGCAGTAAAAATGTGTTGTCCTTTCCCACAAAACTGCAAAAAACAGTAAGCCATTCTTTGATGGATACTTATCTTTGAATCCTAATTTCACACTGGCTGGTCAGGGACAGCCAAAAGGCCGAATGTGCCCCACAGGATGTACAATGCCCGGGTCTGCTTTTAAGATAATGTTTTTTAGTAGATTTAAAAAAAAAAAAAAAAAAAAAGTACAGGGACGGTTAACAATTTAGAAAAAATGAGGGAGAGGAGACAAATGGTCCCAGTAAACCAGCATGTGATGCCCTAAGGTGGTCGCCTCTGTTATTGTTTGCTATAACAATAAAGAACAGTTAAACACAAACATGCAAAAACACATAAGCACAAAAACACTGTGAAATAAAAGAAATGGGCATGACACACATTACGGCAATGTTTATATGTAAAATTTATGTTTTAAATAATCAGAATAGAAGTAACAGTTTTGACTGGCCAACCTCAGCCTCTCACTCTTGCTTTGTGTTTATTTCTCTGACCAAAAAATGTAACCATTGTTATATTAAGACTTGAGAGCCTGAAATATCATCTTTTTTTTTTTTCTACTGTCTCAGAAACATGACACTTTAAGTCATCTAAACGGAGGCTCTTATTTATTTTTTACTTTTTGTACTCAAGAAGTAACTGTGTACCCTCTATTAATTGACTAATGTCTCCAGTTTGACTTTTTTCTGAAAATAAAGGTTAAGCATGTGATGTATTTTAATGCCACTTTGTTGTGTTACTTGTTTCCCTTGCAGGTATGTCAGGAGTTCAACACAACCTGGGCGTGGGAACTCGAGCAAAAAGGATACAAGGAGTTGACGGTGGAGTGCAAGACGGGGATACTTAAAGTGAGTTTTTTGTTGTTGGTGGATGTCAGGATGGCCGTCCGGTTTCCTCTCCCCTATTAGATATTATAAATGAACATTTTCTCCTCCACTGGCCCGCTTTTACACACCTGTGTACATGCTGCAGGTATCACCCAAACATAGACGAGTGGGACAGCTGCAAATAGAGCAAAGTTCTCAAGAAGTCAGATTTAAAGATGTAGGCAAACATGTATTTTAACTTAATCTCCACTTGTTGCTTTGTAAAATAAACCAGGGGTGGGAGGAAGCAGCTAAAAAAGATTGCCTTTTGTCTAGCTCGAGTCGAAGTACTGGTTCTTCCCAGTGTAGCTTCATCAGCTCTCCACCTGTTGAAGGTTCTGGTTGGGGCAGAATGCAGACTGTGGCCACATAGTCAAACTTTCTGTAAGAAGTCCCTGAGCGAATGAAGTGACCCAGAAGTAGAAGCGTGGTAGCCTTTATAAGACCTGGTTGGGTTAATACATAGTGACGCAGTATCAAACTGTCAACGTAACTTAAGTGATTCAGTCCATGTAAATGTTAAATAATGGCTGAGGTTTTGCACCTTCAGCTGAACCACGAATATTCAAGTTTCTGCTCTAAAATCTTTTAAAAATATAATTCTGTGCCTCTATGAGGTAGTTTGACTTTGTTTGTGTTTGAATAAACTTTCCTTTATTGGGCCTTTCTTTTTTCTGCAGTATTTGTGTGAGTGTCAGTTTGACGACAACGTCAAGTTCAAAACCGCCATCAACGATGAGGACCCAGATAAAATGCGCCTGCAGCCAATCGGCCGGGACAAAGACGGGCAGATGTACTGGTTTCAACTGGACCAGGACAACAACGTGCGCGTTTATGTGGAGGAGCAGGATGACTTGGACGGGTCATCGTGGAAGTGCATCGTCAGGTAAAACGGACAGAAACGTCCTGCAGGGGTCCGTTCTTCGTACCTCGCTAAGTAAGTTAGCTGGATTTGATTGACGATTTCGCCTGATCCTGGATCGTTCGGTTCCCCGAAGCTCATCCGGGACTTGCTGTCATAGCAACAGAGCCGTAAGCGTAAACCTGCTCGGGAGCAGGCTTACTTTATGTAAACAGGATTAGATCGCGGCCACTCAGGTATGTCCGCTTCATTTATACGAAAGCAACAGCGATATTCCACCACTGTTTCACCATAAATAAATAACATCAATGTAACTAAAGATAATGCAGCACCTGATCCTTTTATTGATTCCATACAGATACATACAGGTCATTTCCTAAAAAAAGGGAAATGTACTATTAATCATTCTATTTCATGTATTTGATTATTTCAGATGTAATTCATATTTTAGAGTTGTAATACTAAATTACTTCGTGTAATCAAGATGGGAGACCACGGCTATAAAAGCGAAGGTGGATTTGGGAAGCCTGTTGCAGCCATGTCCTGTCCGTATACGCGAGCCACCCATTGCGGAAGGTGCAAGATTGATAAGGAGAGTTTTCAGAATTCAGCGTATATTGCGGGACAGACAGGATCCTTTAGCTCAGCGCGACAGTGTGCTCATAGAGAGATATCGATTTTCCCGTGAGGGTATTATTTACTTAACCAACTTGTTGACGAGGGGGTGCAGGACCACCACCTGTCTTTTTTTGCTCTGCCCTTTTCTTGGTTGCTGTTATAAACAAACAGATTATTCCAGGGTCTCTTTTCAAGAGACGAAAAGCAATATAAGTGATAAATATTACCATTCTGTAGAATATTCTTATATTTCACTTTTACCTGTTCCCATGTTCTAGTGGGTCCTGTTGTGGCTCTAATGTGAAAGGGGATATAATATAACATAATATAATATAATGTAATATAATATTGGATAATATGGTGTGATATGATAAATCTACCCTACCGCCTACTGGTGTTGGCCAGAGGGGCCGATGGCGCGATATGGCAGCCTGGCTTCTGTCAGTCTGTCCCAGGGCAGCTGTGGCTACAACCGTAGCTGCCTCCACCAGTGTGTGAATGTGAGAGTGACTGAATAGTGGCATTGTCATGCGCTTTGGGTGCCTTGAAAAGTGCTCCTTCGACATTTTCGCCGACCAATCAGAGGGTTGCCGATCAATGTTTCTACTATCGATGCGTAGCCCCTTTTACGACACCCAGTGATCTCACATTACTGCGTCCAGCTGTACTAATCGTCAACAGCAGGTGTGTTCGGAGAACCGGCTTAGCGAGCTCACGGGTAGCGCGATGATTTGATCTCGGATGTGTCATTTGATCTTGGATGTAGTAAGCGACGTACGAAGAACGGGCCCCAGGTGTGAAATAAACGTTTGTTTGTTTTTATGTTTTTAAATGTGTGTTCGTCTCTCTCCTTGCAGAGATAGAAACGATTTGGCCGAGGTTGTGGCTCTGCTGAAGACGCAGATTGATCCTGCGCTGTTGAAAAAAGAACAGGAAACGAAGCCTGAAGGTAAAAGAGTTTTTCAGTATAAAAACCAGCAGTTACAATTTTCTCCGGATTGCATTTTTAGTTCAGATTGTTGCAGAAATGTTTAGACTTCATTAGGAACCTACACCTGAATATTTGAATAATAATATCTTTGATCAACATGAGCTGCTGGCATAGCGCACGCTCAGAGCAGTGATTATCACACTTCAGTTGACCTCTCTTGTGCCAGTTGGATCATAATTTTCATACCCCCTTAGCAGCTCCCCCCCCCCTTGTTTGTTTGTTTGTTTAGCGCTTTACTAGTCCCTAAGGACCCCAAAGCGCTTTACACATTCAGTCATCCATCCATTCACACACTGGTGATGGCAAGCTACATTGTAGCCACAGCCACCCTGGGGCGCACTGACAGAGGCTTGATGGCGTGGTGCCCATGTGCACTTGTTTCTAATTTAATGCTGGTGTATATACTTTTCTCCTTCATAGATGTGTCTTATTATCTATATAATTATATCATCATCATTATCTATATAAATATATAAATTTGGAATTAATCTACTAAAGTATGGTTTGTGGAGGCCACCATCTTGACGTGCCATCTTGAATACAGTGGCTGTTTTGCTGTTAACGTTTTATGTTTGTTACTAAAGACTGGCCACATGCGTAGTACACCAAAGGTGAAGAGGAAGAAAACTCGTAAGCATAGATATGTATTATCACCTGAGAAGGAGGCCAGCATCTGAGTAAAAGCTCAAACTCATCTCCTGAACTGAAATCAGGGCTTTAAAAGAAAACATGCTCGCTTATTCCTGATATTGTCACAGCTATCAGCAGATTAGACCTGTGAGCCTCCCGTCTCTGGTCGTTTGACAATGAGGTGGTTAAACAACAACAGCAACTGGTTAAATGCTAACGTTATGTCAGCTAATGTCAGGCTGGAGTGTCCTATAAACCGCACCTTACACTTTATTTGCTAAGTATCTGATTCCAGCAATGTTAGATCCAGTGGCTAACAGCAGCTAACCGAGGCTAACAATGGCAAAAACAGCAGCGCGTACCAACAGAAGTTCAGGATAATCTCAACAACTCACCTCAGTATCGCTGTCAGAAGTGAGTTCTGCTGACTACTTGACTTGTATCGGATTTTCACGTAGTTTTACGTCCCACAGAGTAAATGGATGAGGACACCAGTCTACTCGCACTTAGATTAATTGAAGCCAGAGTTCTTTGTCCTACAGTGGCCACCGTAGTTGGGATTATGTGCTTAAATGGGAGAAGTCAGAAAACAAAACTCTGTTGACTTTAATGTGCAATCTACTGACACCATTGTGTCTTTAACACTAGATTATCTATGTTGATACATTTCACATGTGCACAATGATAAAGAAATTTAATGAAATTCCAAATGATGTGATGGCTTGAAATATTGCTTCAGACTGTAGAGGCAGAAAAGAGGTGTCACAACCAGAGTAAAGCTTTATTTATAGTAAATGATAAACAGACTGGCACTTACTTTAATTAATCACTCAAAGCTTTTACTACAAGTCTTATTCATCCAGCCACACACACACTCATACAGCAGTACTGAGCACCTTGTCTAACACTAATGAATGAACTGGGAGCACCTCAGGGTTTGGCATCTTGCTAGTTTAGACATAAGCAGTTTTCTTGTTTTCATAACTTGGATGACAAGTATAAATGTAAACAAGGAAATCTTATACTCCACAAGGATTTAACGCAGTAAAATAATTTAGCCCTGCGACAGACTGGCCTGTCCAGGGTGTACCCTGCCTCTCGCCTGTGGTAGCTGGGATAGGCTCCAGGCTTTTTTTGTGCAAAGTCTTATATGTTGAATTGAACTGAGTATGTCATCTGTTCAAAGCCTCTCCCAGTCAGTGCTGTTCTTTCTGCCTGTCTCACTGTACATGATGTTATTAGCACAAACACTTTAAAATGATCATTTAGGACTTTAACAATAATACAGACAGCAATGTAGTCAAACATCTCAGTTAGTTTTATTGGGAATTAACTTTAACCTCTTAGGCTCCCAGGAGTTTTCTGAGCTTTCTGCTTGGAAATGAAATGACCAAAATAAATGAAGTATTTCTCTGCTATAACAAACTCTGTGTAAACAGTCTGGGTATCAAAATACAACTAACACTTGTGAGATGTCATCAGAGGTGTAAATAAGTTACTGTGACTCAAACATAGAAAAATTTTGTTTTTTTTATTTCACTCACCTAATTTATTTAAAAGTATTTTAAAGCATATAACACCTTTGAAAATATACTTTGGTTCACATTTAACTCCAGAAAATCATAAATCAAAATATGGATATTACCTGTCCACAGATTCATGGTGACGTAACTGCTCTTTTAACTGTTTGGTGTCTTTGCTTTGTTTGGTGGTTGTAGAAATGGTTTACACGAGCTTTTAGCTGAGATTCAGAGGTTTCTGCAGACACTACTTATGTCAGGACTTATATTTTTGACGTCTTGTTATAACCGATTAAACACAATCTCCTCCCTTTTGCCCCCATTTTTGGGGGTGTGGGTGCTTAACTAGTTACAAACAAACAAACATCTGTCTCCTATTTTTGTGTCATATAGGAAAGAAGCATCAATATCTGATGAGAAGACTTAATTTAGCCTTGCTGTGTATTATTGTGGTGTTTGGGGCAGTTTTCTTGTTTTGTGGGGTGGTTGTTTTTTTTCCCAAGTGGAGATGAATATCTCTAACAAGTTTTGTTCGCGTTGCACATTGTAATTTTTAAGAGAAATGTGTTTTTTGAGTTACACTATATGCATATAAAGCAACAATTTCCCTTTTTTGGTATTTATTTTGTGTGGTGCATTTTTCTCTGTTTTAACAAACGGGAAAGAAAGTTCATTTAACTCGACTTAAGATGATTTGTTTTAATATTTACATGGTCTTACTGAGGTGATGCAAAGTGAAACATGCATTCTTTTTTTAGGTAATGTGCTGGAAAAGCTTGAAAATGGACCTTAAAAGTTTTTTAAAAAGTGCTTGAATTTGACCCTGAAAAATGTGTATGAACTCTGTCAAAATAAACCTCATATTAATCGACATTATTCTACTTACTTTGAGTATTTAAGTACATCAGAGCTCCTAATAGCCATTTAATCTTTTTGTTCTCCTTTTTTTTTGTATTTTGTTACAGGTGAGACCAGAAAGACTGAAGATACATCAGATGAAGACAGCAAAGACTCCACCAAGTCAGTCTCTCCAAAGCCGGAGAGCATTGAAAAAGTAACACAGAACACGAAATCTGAAAATTCAGAAGCAAAATCTGCACTAAATGGTGTCATTGAAGGTAAAGCGGAGGCAGAGCTCGACTCAGAAAATGTCAGTAAAAAAGCCCAGAACATCAAAGAAGAGCCGATGGAAGTTGTGGACACTAAATCTAACTCAAGTGAACAAACACCGGCCTCTGAGACGTTGTGTACATCAGTAAAGGAGGAAAAAGGGGAGGAACCGAAGAAGTCCAGTGCAGAGGAAATGCAGCAAGCCATGAAGAATGACCAGCAGGCCAAGATCCCTTTGAAAAAAAGGGGAATGAAGTTCAGTGAAGACTTTGATAAAAATAATGCCGTTATAGTGCAAAATCCATCTCTTTCTAATCTGAAGGAGGCTGCAAAAGACAACTCGACTCCTGACCAATCAAAGAAAGCGTTGAGTATAAATGATCATATTAATGGTGAAGTTACCCAATCAGAAAAAGGGTCACCAGAGCGAGTAACAGAAGCTGTGGAGAAATCTGTCGACATTAAAGAGAACGACGCTCCGACCACCAACGAGGAGGTTAAAAAGGACGAGCCACAGGGAGTCACCTCACACCAAGCGGATTTGGAGAAGAAAACTCAAGATGAAAAGGAAACGGAAAAAAGGGAAACATGCGAGTCTTCGCTGCCCCCGACAGAACCGACACCTTTATCTAAAGAGATAAATAATGCAGCAGAGAAATCCTCTAATCACGAAGAGCACGAAGAAATGAAAGAATCCAAACCAGCAGACACAGAGGAGTCTTGTAAGGTGAACAAGACAACATTAAAGGAAAGTCATAAAATATTAACTGCTGATGAGTCAGGGAACCTAAACTTAAATCATGAAGTCGAATCCAAAGAAGCCGAATCAAAAGTTTCAAAACAACCAGAGGAAAAGCTAGACTGCACAGACATGGACACGTCCGAGTCGAGTCAGACTAAAGAAGCCGAGGCGCCCGAAAATATAACGCACAAGCAAACAGATACGAGTGACTCTAAAGAGACTGGATCATCTGAGGGTAATGTAGAGAAAACTGATAGCTTTGCTCTGGAAGAGAAGCCTGAAAGCTGTAAGACAACAGAGACACAATCTGCAGACACACCAGAGAAATCTGTAGACTCTGAAACCTCGGAATCAAAGTCTGTCACTAAAAAAACAAGTGAGAAAGCGGAGGAAACAGCCAACACTAAGGAGAGTGTGGACCAGCCTGTTATCGAAAAGGTCGACAAGTCAGACTCATGTAAAGCTGCAGAGAAGCACGATGGCATCAAAGATGCAGAGATGGCTCCCACAGTCTGTGAGACAAAGACAGAAAAACCAGAAGACATAAAGAAAACTGTCAACTGTGAAGATGGTACGGTACGTGATGCTTCCAAGATAAGCGACTCTGTGTCTGGGCCTGTGGCTGCAGAGGCACAGGGCGCAAAACTCGATGTGACAAAACCACAAAAAGATGACAAAGCTGACATGAACTCTGTCGCACAAAAGCCAGCAGAGCAGCCATCTGAAGGGCAGGATAAAACACCCAGCCCTGTTGAGAAGACGGATACCTCAGATGAAAAACCTGAGACTGAACAAGAGAAGGATTCTGAGAAAAACCCCAGCGCAATCGAGGCAGAGCATCCATCATCAGATAATAAAAAGGATGCTGACAGGGAAAGTGAAAAGGACACTGATAAAGAAAAGCTTTCAAACTGCAAAGAGGACTCCACAGCAGATGAACTCTCAAAAACTGAGGAGAGTAAGGGCAAAAGCGAGGATGTGGACTCTCAAGCGAAAAAAGATGTGGCGAATGGCAGTGAAGCTCCAGCAGATGTTCAGGAGGAGGATGTCTGCCGGAAAAACAAGCGCCCAGTCAACCGAAGGAAAGTTGAGCTCCAGCGGGAGGAGCGACAGGGGGACTCAGAGTCTGACACAAACGTGGGGAGATCCCTGCGAAGATCACCGAGGATCTCTAGGCCGACGCCAAAGGCAGTACAGATCCAGGACAAGAAGCAGGAGAAGTCGCAGGCGCCTCAGAAGCGCGACGAGGAGAAGGGTGAGAAGGAAAAGTGTGAAGACGAGGAGGACAAGGAAGAGGAGGTGGTGAAGGTCGTTAAGAAGAAGCCAAGAGAGAAAAAGACGGATCAGGAAGGCCAAACCAAACCCAAGGTAAGACCATGCATTCATTCCATGCACTGTATACAAAAGATGGACATAGACACTGTGACATTATTCCACATCTGAAACTTAGAGGTGAATGAGAAACTGAGGGACACTCATGATAGTCAGGAGTTAAGCCCACCCTAAGGTGTAACCTGCTTCATCAGCCTTTTTGACTTTTATTGGGGAATTTAAATTGATGACCATAAGAAAAAATATTAAGACTTGAAATGTCTTTCCTGTAGATTTCTGTAGTAGTGGTTTCTACCTGGTGGGCCATGAAGGTCCTGCAGTCCTTAAACTTGGGAATAACCTTTTTTTGCAGCCAGTGGAGTCGCCCTCTGCTGGCCACCAGAAAGAATGGAGGCTTAAGGTACTGCAGCCATGGCTTTGTCCATCTTTTATGTACAGACTGGTCATTTTCCAGATTGCACAGCTCTATTTTTCCTCCGTTAACATTTTCATTACTGCTTGTTTTAGGCGAGAAAGAGGCGAAGGGTTCGGTGGTCCAACACTCGGACGCGCCGCAGAAAGAAAGACTCGGAAGACGAGGACGAAAACAGCGACGAGGAGTCCAGCGAAGAAGACGAGAGCGAGGAGGAAGACGACAGCGATGAAGACTACAAGGTTGAGCGTACAAGAAAGAGGCGGAACCGTAACCGAGAAAGACGAAGCTCGGACTCCTCGACCTCATCCGACGAAGATCTACCTCCCAATGACGACCCTTGCAAACACTGCGGTCTTTCAAATCACCCAGAGCTGGTGGGTAACATCTGTAAAATCTCACCCGCATATATTTATATTGAAAAGAGACTCAAATTATAACAGCAAGGAGAGACTGGAATATTATCCAGAAAGGTTTTAACAATGAGACTTTAAGGGTGTTATTGAATCAGGGGGCAGTTTTTAGCCGTGAGGTTGGAAAAGAAACAAGTCCTGAGGCTCCTCCTAGTGGGGAGAAGGCAGAACAACGCTTTTTTTTTATTTATTTATTTTTGTTAGATGTAAATATAGCCCAACATTTAATATCAGTACAAATATGAGTGGAAACTAGGGCAGCTGGGGAGTTCTTCGTTAAAGTCTGAAGCAGAAAAACGCCTCCTAACCGACAGTGATCTCACATAGAGTAGCATCGTCACTTTTGGCAAGCAGGAAAAAACAGCCACTGATTTATTTCCTCATTACTGTAGTTTGATTCTATGGGTTGTGCTAACTTTGCACTCTTCTTTCTTTGTTGAGAGAAATGCTTTTGTTGTGTTACGATCTGCCTGTATCTCTTTCTCAGATCCTGCTGTGCGATTCGTGTGACAGCGGCTACCACACAGCCTGTCTGAGGCCTCCGCTCATGATCATCCCCGATGGAGAGTGGTTCTGTCCACCCTGTCAGCATGTACGTACCAGTCAGTGCACTCAAAATTAAATGTATAGTTAGCTCAGTGTTTCTACATCTGTGGGGCGTCAACGACCGGGAGGAAAAAGACAGCGTAAACCACAAGTAAATGTGTTTTTAATGTAGATTAAAATAATGCAACAAGAGTCCACTGATGCTGTTTTTCACGTTTTTTTTTTAAGAAGTCTTAATGATGGCTTTAAAACCTGTGTGGTGTTTGATATCATGACGCTGAAGTGCAGTTTGAGAGCTACTGGATTAACTAAAGTTCAAATGTATCACTCGCCCCCCTCTGTAGAAGCAGCTCTGCGACAAACTCGAAGAGCAGCTCCAAAACCTCGATGCTGCTTTGAAGAAGAAGGAGCGGGCTGAGAGGAGGTGAGACAGTTTGTGTTTCAGCTGCTGTTGAATTTAACAGTTTGTTTTACTTTGAAGCCAGTGGTTCCCAGTTTGGGTATGACTTTGAACCATTCCACATTACATACATATTTTTAAGGAAGGTAAACAGTCCTTTAGACGGTCTGCGTTTCCGCTGTGGCACAGACGTAGCAACAGCATCTTCCCACAGAATTGAGTGGAGATGGACAAATATAAATACAATACAATTTGAAAGTAAAATTTAATCAATTTTTGTTCTATTTCCACTCTCTGATTTGAAATCTCTCTGGACTTCAGCAGTGGTGTAACAGGTCTTTCCAGAAAGCAAGAAAAAAAAAAAAAGCCTGCACCTGTTAACTGTTAGTTTTTCACCTGGCTTCATTTGGAGCTTGTTGCGGTGGTTTCCCGTTCAGTTGAGGAAGAAGGATTTTGTGAACGCAACCTACTTTTTGCCTACAGTGACGTAACGTGACAGGAATCATTTGTAAGTCAAATGGTGATTGGTTGATAAGTGGGCTTGACAGGAAGTAAGCAGCAGTAGAGTTCACCATAAAGGGAAAGCAATTCACAAAAATGTCACAGAGCTGCTGCAGAGTAAATTTTTTTCATTGGTTTTAACATTTTAGAAGCTAAAACAAGAATATCCCACAGGCATGTTTCTCTGTACATTTTTGACACTGCCCCCTGGTGGTATTATACAGCTGTGCACAAGAATAGTGCACACCCATGGTGTTGCCTTGAAGGTGCAGTACTCTCAAAAACCATTTTATTTCCTGTGCTGGAAAAGATCTCTGTTATGTAGTGTTATGAAAATCCTGTCCACTTTCTGTAGATGTGTATTCCAGCTTTTACTCTGAAATTGCAGCTCTTTAACTAAGCACTGCAAAGCTTTTACAAGTTTGCACTATTTGACAAACAGGACACTCGGATTAACTTTTTTGTGTGATCATCTTACTGTGTTTTTCTTCTCCAGGAAAGAGCGTCTGATTTATGTTGGAATCAGTGTCGAGAACATCATCGCGCCCTCTGTGAGTACTTAGTGAGGTCATGGGGTCTTAAATAAAAACAGAAAAAAACATTGACTGCTGCTGATGTTTGTGAATGTAAGTGACGCTGAACTCTTTCCAGGTTGAGGTCGAGGAGGAAAAACCAGAGATCATTATCAAAGAGAAGAAAGAAACAAAGAAGAGTAAGAGCTGGGGTCGGAGGTCAACGAGGGCGAAGAAAACCATCAGCTACAGGTACGAGACATACTATTTTGCTGCATGTTCAGGCAACCAGTCCATATCAGTTGATGTTGATGACATCAGTGTTTGTAGCTAGTAGCCAATCACGGATAATATATAATTTCTATAGAGCCGTAGTCATCATAAGAAAATCTTGCCTACTCCACAAACAGTTGATGGCCTGGGTTTGTTGGATAAGCTCGATCTGCCACAGTGTGGGGAGTTACATCTGCCTGCCAGATGTTTTCTTTGGGGGGGGTTTGTTTTGTTTGTTTTTTACCCTAAATAAATCATAAAAAGATTACCTATTATTTCCAGTATCTAGAAAATAAAAAATCGTAAAAGGTTTTGTTTACTGAAAACAGACCCTGGTCGACATGGGGGGGGCTGAATGTGCATCTGTGTGAGATAAATGTTATCACATCTCTTTTGCTGTGAGCCATTTAGGGTGTTTTCACACCTATAGTCGGTTTACTCTGGCCCAAATCAGTTTGTAAACTTCTAGCTTTTTCCTTTGATTTGGTTTGTTTTCACACAGAGAAAATTCTACGTTAATGTTCAGTCTGCTTATTGGCCAGGAGTGTCTGGGCCGGACCAACAAAAGTAAACAGGAACAGGAAGGTGCTGTGTTCTGGGGTACTCAAGAAAACGGAGAATTTAGGTTCATTTCAAAGCTCGTTGCTAGCCTGTAAAGACCTTTGCAGCTCTGTAGTAGTTTTTCTTTTTCTTTTCTTTTTTTTTTTTAAACTCAAACTTGTAATGTACACCTAGTCGCACCTAGTAGTTGGTTCGGATCGCAGTCGGATCAGGTTTGCACCATAAACAATTGTGTTGACTTCATTTGAAACTGCATTAATCCCACCCCCTCTAAAAACTCTCCGTGCGGTTGTTTTGGTCAGCACCTGAGTGCGATTGCCAAACCACAGTTTGATTTAAACGGACTAAACGCTGCAGGTGTGGAAACACCCTTGGAGTCAGTCGGCAGTTGGACAGGTGATTGTGTTATTATTGGCAGAGACGCATTTAAATTCTCCAGGCAGCAAAAAATATTCTTGTCTGTGTTGATGTAAACTTTGCAGATTTGATGAGTTTGACGAGGCCATCGAGGAGGCTATCGAAGAAGACATCAAAGAAGCAGAGGGTGGAGGTAGGAGGAGAAGAAACTGTACTGTGTACTTTGCTGAAAATATTTCTGGCTCTGAAGATCAACCCAAAATCTGAAGCTCATTTAACATGTTGTATCCGTCTTGTTTGTAATGCAGAAGAATGTAGCAACTTGTCATATTTACACAAGAAGCGGTTCAAATGTGAAAGATGTGAAGTTTTTAATATAACTGAGGTGTTTTTGCAGGAGCGGGTCGGGGTAAAGATATGGCCAACATCACAGGGCACAGAGGGAAGGATATTTCTACCATCCTACAAGCCGAGGAGGGCAAGGAGAACGGCCAGCCGCCGCGACCCAGCGCCAGCCAGCGCAGGAAAAAACGCCGGCGACTCAACGACCTGGACAGCGACAGCACCGTGGACGAGGAGGAGAGCGAGGAAGAGTTTCGCCTCAGTGAAAGGTACAGTTTGACTTTTGGTTTCCAATCTCATAAATCTGTCAGTTTTGTTCACCAGACGCTGAACTCTCTCTGCGTTCGCTTGTTTGCTCGGATGCAGCTCAGAAGAAGAGTTTGTTGTGACGGACAACGACACGGAAGCTGAATCAGAGGCCGACTCCAACAACAGCGACTTTGGCAGCAACGGTAGCGGTAGGCATCGAAAGTCTTCGCGGAGCAGACTGCTGACATGCAGACGGAGCTCCAGAAAGCGGCGGCGACCGAGAGGGTACTCGGATGATGAGGAGGACGAGACGGATGATGACGATGAGGATGAAATAGGTATATCTGTTTTACGTTATACTCTTTTTACTTATTCTCTAAAACCTGAAATAAAGAGATGACTACAGGTTAAAAGGTGCAAGTTGTAGTTGAGTTGTCTGCCCCACAGAGCATCTTTGCTTATAACCAGAAGCTTCAGACCTTAGATCGCTTCTGAAACGCTGCTATTACAGTACTTAAACCCAGAAATTACTCGCAGAGACCTAACACAAATATTTGAGGTTGGAGCCCCCGGTAAAACTATAAACAAGACTAATGATAAGCTCAACTAGTAACTAGTACACAAAACTGCAAAGAAAGTTAAGAGAAAAGACAAGTGCTGGTGCAGGAAAGAGACCCAGCATTAACCCTGCTCTTGATGGTGAGCCTCCTTAGGATGAACTACAGAAACAGAGCAGGTTAAAAAGGGGATGCGTCTGGGTACACAAGCAAGTCAGAATTACAGTTTAAATGTCTGAGCACAATGTCATTTAAAATTTGTTTCTAAGAATATTCCTGCTGCAGGTCATCCTCTGATTTTTAACCGCTTCTTTGTTGTTTTTTTGTGCGTTTCTGTGCAGTGACCGAAGGCTCCAGTGAGTACAGCGACAGTGATCTGGATATGAGCCGCCGGCGGTCGAGGCGAAGCCAGAAGAAGCAGGTTAACTACTGCGAGACGTCCGAGTCTGAAGGCTCTCAGGCCGAAACCAACCAGGCCAAAACGAAACCCAGACGTCAGCAGGAAAGCTCCGACAGCGACGGTCAGTCAGAAACACTTGAGTGATTGATTAATCTATTTAGATTAGTAATTAATCAGATGAGTTAAAAGTGTGGAGAGCAACTTTGGTTTCCACTAATTTATCTTAAAATATTTTGTGACTTACAGTTAAAGGTAAGAATAAAAATCAAACTTTCAAACTCATTGGGTCTGTATTAATAACAAATCCTTTAAAACAAATACAAAAGTTTGGTGTCTTTCTAAAAAAAGAACTTTTTCATCCAGTTTTGATAATATTCAGCAGATTGCCGTATCTAAGCTTTATTAACTCCTCCTGTACCCATGACATCTCTTTGATCTTAAAATAGTTAAGACCAGAGTCACCACATAAATCACACCAGCTTAGAGACTGGTTCATGACCATCCGGCACACCTGCCATTCACGAGGGAAAACTTCCGTGTAATTGCTTTGGATGCTTGCACATTTACTGTTAGTAGAGGTGATGGACTTACAAACGGAGCTGCTCTCTGAGCTGTAGTGAAACTCAAAAGTATGACCCAAATCATAAACTGAGAAAGTTGCATAACTTTTACTGCGAAGGCGAGCTTTTACTGGTGACCAGGAGTAGTACACCTCAGTCTCCTTGTAGCCACACCTATGGTATCAATTTTAAAAAGTCTTTTTCTTTTTTTTAAGTTGACCTCTGACCTCTCTGAGATTTTAACTCATCCAAGATTTTTGGTAGTTTAGTTTTTTAATAGTATCAATTTGAAACTCCTATGTGGCCTCATTGTTGATTTGGTGAATGACCTTTTATGGGTGAGGTGTTTTAAAAACTGCAGGCAACCCCAGCAATCTCCTAGAAACCAAAGCAATTGTTGGTGCTTTTTTTCGGTGCAAAACAGTCTTCGCATCCAATTTCACCCTGTGAGATGGCAGACAACTGTCAAGCAATGAGCTCTTGATGTCATGTGAGAAACTTCATTTTTAACCCTGACAAAGTACATTCACTTTCAGCACCATGGACAGCAACAGCAGAGAAGTGTTGGTTTAATGCAGTCTTTTAGAGATGAAGCTGTTTCAAACTCTTCCTCAATTGATTTTATTTAAATTCTGACTGTTTGACTGACGCGCGCGCGCACACACACACACACACACACACACACACACAGTCTTATTTCATTATTTGCATCAGTTTTAAGTTGCTGAGTTTTAACTGATTGAAAAACAAAACGCGTAAATGAGGCAATGTTGACGTGAACATGATTGATGACAGCAAGACTAAATGTGACTCTTGTTTTCTCTTCCCAGCGAGTTTCTCCAGAGACTCCGAGGAAGATTCGAGGGATTGGAGGTCGAATAGAATCTCATCGGAGGAAGATTCCCGGCAGCGACGCAGACGCCTAGCGCTAAAACGCAGGAGAGCGTCGGAAGATGACGACTCCGACGAGGACTCGGACGAATCTTCCGAGGAGGATCGACCCATCCGTAAACGAGTGAACCGCATCGACTCGGATGACGACGATGACGAGGAGCAGCAGGAGGAGAAGCCGAAGGAGAAGAAAGCAGAGGAGGAGTCAAAGGGAACAAATGCATTGGACTGTGGCCTGGTAGAGCTGCCGCCCGCCAACGGGCAAAGCCCCATAAAGAGCCTCGAGGGTATCATCAACCGGCCCGCTGCCACCATCGCTACCATCACCGCTCCAGGCATTATCCCACATCTGGAGCCGCCCAAAAGCATCAGTGCCACACCGGCTGCTGCCATAGCACCAAACGGGCTGGTGGGGCAGGACATTGCGGCACAGGACGATGACGAAGACGACCTGTTAGGAGTCACAGACCTCGTGGACTACGTCTGCAATAATGAACAATTGTAAAAACAAAAGTGGTGTACTGTTTGTTTGGTTTCTTTTTCTTTGTTCTTTTTTTTTTTTTTTTTTTTGGTGGTATTGTATTTTTATATTGCTTAACTTTATTATTCCCTCCCATGCCAACAACTCCTCCTCCATGTCCGTTTTTCTCATGTCACCTGGAAGCCTGGACCCCACCCCCACACCTCCAGTGTGACGCTGTCCCCATGGGATCCTGCAGCCAATAAGTCCACCAACATACCATTCCTCATTTGTCTGGAAATAACCAGTTGACCCGCCGAAGCACCGTCGTCCCCCCCGGTTGTCGTCATCGTTGTCCTGTTTTCAGTTTTGGTTTTGATCACTTTTGGCTCTGAAACTGGGGGAAAAGTTAGTCTGTTTGAAAGCTGAATAACTTTTAAAAAAACAAAACAAATCATTCCATAATTGGCACCAAGTTCTGGACATCTGTTTATCATTTTATGGCTTTTTAAAGAAATGCAATCATGTTGATTGAAACGCACTTCACCGGGCAGGGTTAGATGAGATGATAGACGCGGCCGTTTAGCTCTGCACAAACACGGCGCGATGAGCTACAAGAAAGCGGGTTTAGCTTGTTAGTCTGCTTTAATTAACCAGCTGGCACGCTGACCTTTCACAGCGGCTTTTAGCACCAGATGTTTTTTTTAACGTTAACAAACATGCTTCCAACGTTACAATCGACGAAAGCCGGGGCAGTCGTGGTGCTGCACTAATTTAGAGGTTTTTGTTCGTTAATACTTTTAAAACAATGTATGTTTAATTTCCTAAACATGATATTTTCAGTCAAATCCACCTGTGGGCATTTTTAAAGCTCTTTCAAGCTCACTAATTAACCCTTTATGGCCCGTTTGTTGCAGGTGGAGCTTTAGAGGAGCTACAGGTGGATTTTCGGTTTTTAGGCTTTGTGCTGCGCTAACATGAGCTACTGCTTCATGTGAGGGATGTATTTGATAAGTTATTGGTTCTTTCTGATCATATCCGGTGTGTATTTTGTTATTAAACCACGCCCCCCCCCCCCCCCTTTTTTTTTTGTCAATGTTAATCAGTCAAATATACCCCCCTCCTTTTCATCGTATGAAGGTGTGAATGTATATATGTGACCAACCTTCGTTCGTCCCCCCCTTGAACCTAATTTTTTGTCGTTGAATGTTAGAGTAGCTTTTGTATATTGTATACATATATAATTATTTTAACTACACGCGCACTGCCATCAGCATCAGAGGTTGAACTTTCAGGTTATAGTTTGTTTGGAGAAACCAAATCAAAAGGTGAAACTCTCCTTCCCTCCTGATCCAGACTAGCCTCTTCTCATCGCTTTCATGTGATTCATGGTTTCAGTAAATCTATTTTTTTTTTTTTTATATCTAAACATTTATTTGTTGTTGTCTCTTTGAGGAAATAATGTAAAGTGTCTTATTTTCTTTGTGGGTGGAGATGCCTGCAGGTCTTTAGATTTTTAGTATCTTTAAATGGATGAAGGAGTGTTAGGGTTTACATTAAAGAATGGGGTTAAAATATCCAGAAAAAGATCACCTAGTTGAAGCAAAATAACTCCCTGGTTTGACTTTTTAAAAACATCCTTTGAATATATATATTTTTTATTGTAGACATAATACTCCTTCGTTATAAACAACACTCGGCTCTGAAAGCCTGTTTTCTCTCTTATTCCACTCCCCTGGATCTTCCTGTTTCCTCTGACATGAGCAGTTTCCATAATCCTGAGCTCAGGTTCGGATCAGATCAGGATCATGAAAACCAAACTGTTTTAAAGCGATGTGTCGGGTTGCAGGGGAACAGGGGGGGAAAAAGGCAAACCAATGACTTCACTGACCTCTGCTGGAACCAGTCTGTGTGTATATCTGTAGTTTTTGCTGTAATATATTTAGAGGCATTTTTTTAACCATGGAAAAATATATCGAGCAATTCTTTGGGATTGCATGAGTTTCTTATAGTTTTCTTTTGTAGGGAAGTAATATTGGCACAACAGTTTTTGTAAGAAAATCGCAAAAAAAACCCCTCTGGCATGCTTTCAGGATCTCCTGACCTGGTGCATTTGTGCTGAGGGACTCGTGAAGTAGGCGTGTTAATTTGCAGTGAAACTGCATACGGGGTAAGCATGCGCTGACTTGCTAAAGCTCGAGGGGGAAGAACGGGACGTCGCCGTGGAAAATAATCAAGGACTGAGAGGGAGTGAAGCCTGTTTGTAAAATATTTTGTAAATTAGTCTCAGCATGGTCTTCAGAGGATAAACCACTATTTATCATACCGTTTTGATACTGGCCACGGCCAAAATGACTTCCAAGACAAAAACCTATACGTGCTGCTTGCACAGCATAGGCGTCTATACACGATATTTAGCTTTTAGATTAGCTGGGCAGAATATAGAAACCCGGTTCTACAGACGTAACAGAGGTGCGTGTCCTGGTGGGTCGAGACGGAGCAAAGGAGTGTCTGTGTGCTGTGTGTAACCCTGTTTATATTCTCCACAGAGATAAGGAGAATGTATAAATGTGTATCTCATGGTTATGAAATAACCCGTAGCGAGACCTGCATAGGGATGGAGAGAAATAAAAGCTTAATAAAGAGAAAGAGGAGGTCGGTGCCAATGACTGAAGTGTTAACAGTTTCCTATTTACCTCATGATGAATCTGGGAGGAAAGACACCCTGTCCACTGTGTATAGATCCTTGTAGACTGGTTGGTGACGTTTTGTCCGCTCCCTACATTTTATTTTATTTTTTTTGGTTAACTTTACTGTTATTTCTTATGAATCCGATCTTGTACATTTGTCATAATAAAATGGGTTTTAAGCCTGATGTCGACTGTGCTCGTTTTACAAATGCAAAACATGCACAAACAGCTGACCCTTATAACGCTTAAAATACATAAATGATACATAAGAAAATAAAAACAGGCTAGAAACGAGTTGCAGTTGCACCCTTTGTTGTTTGAGCTGCCAACAAGACATGAACATGTACCAAAAAGCCCTTGACCTCCCTGCCTCACAAACACATAAATAAATACTGAGCCCACCATAGAAAAACATTAAAAACTGAATTAAGGAAGAAGAGACTCCCTGAAAACATTAAATAACTGCAATAAAGCACAATGTATAATAAAGCAGTCTAACCCTGGAGTGTTTATCGAACCTTGTGGAAATTTAAAAAAGTAATTAAATATAAATTTGCATATATGAGCTTTAATTTCTGTCATTTTTGCTACATCTGACATTTTATTGTTTAGCTTAAATAAACATTAATATATAAAGGGGTTAGGGTCAGCTCTTCAGGATGCCTTTTCCACAGACGTAGGTCACAGTGACATAAATTGTCTCACTGTGGGTTTTACCGCTGACTTTGGGGAAAATTAAAAGCCCCGACCTGGAGGTTTCTGGTCCTAAAGTGCAGACGACCAAGGTTTAAAAGCAGCTTTGTTAAATCTGTTGTGTTGACGCTTCTAATAGGCCCATAATATAAAAGCAGTTCAGATCCTTCACATGACTGTCACACTATTGACTATTTTATGTATTTTATGACTATTGCTCCTTTTGTCTTTTTTTGCGAGGTGACCTTGGGATTTTGAAAGGCGCCTTCAAATAAAATGTATTATTATAGTTATTATTATTACTAATTATTCCATCTCCAGCTTAAGTCACTTTCTCTTAAACAGGAAAGGCTTCTGAATCAGCACAGATGAGCATACAGATACTTCACAACTTCTCCCAAAATTCAGAAGTTCTTTATCAGAGAGTTTGGGAGCTCTCTGAAGATCCCCAGTATTAGACTGCACAGCTGCAAATATTTGGTGGTCTGGTTTGTGTTTATGCATTCACTTGCCGACCAAAAGATCACCGGATCAATAGCAGCCAGACACACAGATCCTCGTATCTCTTACATAATAAAGCATGAAAGTCCACTTAAAGCTCAGAGCCACATAAAGCTGCTCGTCACCATCGTAAACGCTGCTGAGATAAAATAATCTCTCGTGTCATGAGAGTGAGGGTCAGAGGAGTTTGTTGCGGCTGTGAACTTTAGCACCACTCTTCTAAAACGGCACACTGTGAGATAATCTGTAACCACGTCAGTAGGAGGAAGCTTGTTTACAAACCATCGAGCACGTGCCGCTCTGTCAACCAAGCAGCAGGTCTAAAGGAACGCCGTGCATTCGTTTAACAGGCTGAGGGGCCGAAGGTCACATGTTTGTCATCTGTTCTGCGCTGACGATGATCCACGCTGAGGAAAAACGGAGACGCTGGTGTTGGGCATTTGTTTGGAGAGTGTGAGACGCCTGAGGAAGAGGAGGAGGCGGCGGAGGAAAGGACACAAAGGTCGTGTTGTGTAACCAGCACCATGTGAGCCATGGTTGGGGGGGTGGGGGGATTTTATTGGATCTCTGTTTCTGATAATCCAAACCTCAGAGAGAGGAGATTAACCGTCACTTGGTTGTGTGTTTCACTGATGAAAAGACCCCAAATGACACATTTACTGTATGTATGATATATAAACTACACTACACACATTCTAGGCAGATTTTGTTTGGCTAGTCTTTGTATTTATCCTCAAATTGGATCTAAATGACTACAATTCCTCATCCGAGGACCCACGAATGTCTGCATGGAAACTTCCCTGCCACCTTCCAATAAAAAACACAGCATTTAACATTTTTCAGACATATTTTTAATCAAAATACTGCATTTAAATTACAACATTATAGAAAACCACTATACATTTTGTTCACAGACAAATGTTTTTAACCACATTCTTATTTAAAATAATTATCCCAGTTTTACAATCAGAAACTGGCACTGTAGAAGTTTTTTAAGATCAATTGTCTTTACGCACAGAAACTTCAGATTCAGTGTTGTGCCCCAAAAATAAAACACCAAAGTCCCACCAGCACCACATACAGTATAATTCTAGCACCTGAACCTTTAAATACAGTAAACTACCAGACAGACGCGTTAACGAGCCAAACGTGAGATTAAACCAATAAAAGATCAAAGGTTTAGTCACCCAAAACCAACCATCACCATTAGCATGTCCTACAACTGAGGTCCAGTTTTCTTTAACATGCTACATGAAGTAGAAAAGCAAGACATCTGAAGGTTTAAGGCTTTGAAAACATGGTTAATAAAACCAAACATCTGCAGTCCTTTTCTCCAACAACACCCAGTTTGGCAATAAGAGTGAATTAAACACTTTTATAATGTTGTTTTATGGCATTTGGAGATTGTACGTGGCTGCATGTGTCTTAAATTCTTTCTGCTGTTCTCTTATTAACGAGAGATTGCCACAGCTGATCCATACACAGAATAACCTTCCAGGCACAACCTCAAATGGATTGGAGTCTTCTTCTGGTCTCGAACCGGGGATCTTTCTTCACACCTCTGAAAACATGTCCTGATATCAGTGATATCAAGCTTAAGAAAAGCTTGGAATGTGGCTCCCGCAATCCAGAACAGACCCAGGCTATTGTACTCCTAATGGCGTGCCAAACCAAAATAAATGGAAGGGTCGTGCAAGCCGGATCCATCCGCTGTGGTGACGCTCATGGGAAATAAGGGAGCAGCATAAATAATTAAAGTCATGAATCTACCAGACTTCATAGAGAAAAAGATACATTTTAGTAGGTGCACCATCACACCTACTTGTTTGCATATTAACCACTTAGCTGCTTGTGCTCTGTCCGTATTTTTAAAATCTGTGCGCTTCTGTTGTTCTTCAGCTTCGTCACATGTGCGATGACATAAGCACAAATATACATTCAGCTTAATAGTGCATACATTCATCGTTGTTGTGCTTATGACAATTTTCACGTTATTTTTTGGCAATACTTTAAATATTTGTGCTTAAATCTTAAGACTAAGATTCATGAAAATAACTATTGATAAAAATGGCACTAACCGTGCATATCCAGGGCTGTTTTCCTGTTAAATGTAGGGCAACTAGAAAATTTATGCTTTTTGGTAGCTGCAGTGGTATTATAGCTAACATTTAATTGCACATGAAGAAAGAAGAATTAAGATTTTAGGTCAACCTTAAGCCACAGAATGCATATGTTATTTTTAACATTTAAAATAGTGTTTTAACAGCAGGTTTGAGCCTCTGTATGAAGCACATTTGTCATCTTTTAGTGAGAAACTGAAGCCACTTTTGTGTTCTGATTAGCTGCCAGCTTTCTAACAGTGTATTTGACATCTTAGCTGACATTTGCTGTTCAGTGACAGTAAAAGTGCGTTTTACCCTGACAGTACCCACACATTACAGTGTGTATTGTTTTTTTATGTGTTCACAGACATTTTGAAGGTGAGGCAACCCTGCAGTGCAGCATTAATAACAAAAGAAAAACAAAAGCTGGCTGTGCTGCTGTTATCCGTTAAGACATGAGGAATAAAACAGGCACGGCTTTTCCCCCTCGCACCTACTGGGTCTTCTTTTTCTGGATGGCAGGAACGTCCAGCCCAACGGTACTCCCACCAAACAGGAAAGGGATGATCTTCTCAAACAGCAGGATGCAGCTCACCACGCCTGCACACACACGTTAGACACAGGAAGTTATTTTGGTAACAACAAGCAGACATATGTCAGGTATGAGTCGTGCATTTAAATGACAGGCCAAGCTTCTTTATTTAGAGGACAGTCATCCTAATCGAACCATGGAGTAGCTTGTAGAGCAGGTCGGTCCTGAGCGCTTAGTCAGTTATCTTATTTGCCGAGAGTTAGAAAAGACAACAAATACCACACTCACATCTAAAAGTGGACATGAGATCATAAAGAGTGGACTCCAGTCTGCTGCTTACCTAAAACTGGTCCCAGCCAGTACACAAAACAGTACTCCAGGTAGGTGTGGCCGCTGCAGGGGAACTGAACTGAGAAGGCCAATACTGGGTTGAAAACGGCTCCGGAAATCTCTCCACCTGCACAAAACAAAAGATGGAAGAATAATTAATTTACTTTATGGGCATGGAACCATCTACACTTTTAACCCACATGCTGAGGAGGGTAAATATGCATGCTTGCTGCATTTAATAATTGCACTTTTGCAAGAACAAAGGCTGACAGGATGGTTTAAATTCTGGATTTAGTAGGATTGTGATCAGTATTTTAGTTGTGCCGTTTAGATCTTGATTTCTTGTGGGTCTATGTTGTGGTTCCCAGGACAGTACAATGTTTCTGACAGAAACCATGGCAGGGTGATTGCCAGTATTCATGTGCAGGATTGTTCTTAACATTAAAAAAAAAAAGAAAAAAAAAGAAAAAAAAAGTTTTCCGGGTCTGTGCGGTGTACGGGGCACAAACTGTGACCCTTTCTATTTAAAGGGGGTTTCATTTACTTGTTTAGACTTGTGAAGAGTAGGAAGTGCCGCTCATTAACACACCTGCATAAACTGCTGCCGTTACAACAGCAGCGATGAAGTGCACCTGGAGTCTTTCGTCCAGTTTGTGGACGTGCATGCAGGCAGCCTGGAAAACGAAGGCGCAGGCCAGCTCCACCACCGCGGCCTCCAGCAGCGTCCCGCCTAGGGGATCGAAGCACCTGAAGTCAGTGCTCTGGTGCTGCAGGTGAATGTCGGAGAGACCCTGCGACCACACGGAGGCGACATAAGACTGCGAGGCGACGGCAGCTGCGAATTGGAGCATAATGAGGACGCCGGCCGCTCTTAAGCTGCGGGTCCCGCGGCACACACTCTCTAGAGCCGCGGTGGGGTTACAGGTCGCGTCCTGGAAAGTTACCAAGTGGACAAGAGTCACCGTGTAGGTGAGAGCCAGGCCGTAACTGAGCTCCAGGTGGGCCGAGTCTCCCAGCAGTTTGAGTT